TTTTTTGTTTTTTGAGACAGAGTCTCGCTTTGTTGCCTAGACTAGAGTGAGTGCGTGGCATCAGCCTGGCTCACAGCAACCTCAAACTCCTGGGCTCAAGCGATCCTCCTGCCTCAGCCTCCCGAGTAGCTGGGACTACAGGCATGCACCACCATGCCCGGCTCATTTTTTCTATTATATATTAGTTGGCAAATAATTTCTTTCTATTTATAGTAGAGATGGGGTCCTCGCTCCTTGCTCAGGCTGGTTTCGAACTCCTGATCTTGAGCAATCCGCCCGCCTCGGCCTCCCAGAGTGGTAGGATTACAGGCGTGACGCGCGCCTGGCCCTTGACTCAGTCTTTTTAATTTTCACTGTCCCCTCCCACCCCATTGGGAGGGGGTCTGGGCCCAGAAGCTGGTGGGTCTCTCCCAGGGAGGTCCTCCGGCCCTGCCAAGCAAGGCTCCATTGTGGGGTAGGTCTCAGAATGTCCACCCACTCTGCATGGCTACTCACAGCTGGGAAGCTCTGCAGCCCCCTGTGTGCCAGGTGCCTCAACCCAAGTGTGGGAGACCCACGTAGTGAGGCCACAGGTTTCCGGTGCCCTGGGCCTGTGTGGCCACAGGCTCCCGATTCTGCCCAGGTTGCCCTTAGCCGGCACAGTCTGTGCTTAGGAATGGGGCGGGTCATGGGTCCACAGCACCCCCACAGGGCACCTGACCCGGGGCTCTTGCTCTTGGGTGTCCAGCCCTGCCCCGTGTCCCCACGTCACATTCTGTCATGTAGGTCTTGGCAGTGGCCATCGTCATCGAAGTGGTAAAGGGCTGGCGTTTCCAGCTGGACTCCAGAACTCCCGCTCTTCGGGTTTGACCCACAGGCCCTAGCACCTCGGTCGAGGACACTGAGCCAGGGCCAGCAAGCCGGGGCAGTTGGGCACGGGTGGTGGTCTCTGGCTTTTCTCAAGGGCAGTGGCTGCTGGGATGGTAGGGCTCACAGCCTCTCTCCACGTGTTACCAGCTCCCGTTTGAGCAGGTGTCAGTGTTCGCGCGGCAGGGGTGTGTGCCTCAGTCGGCTGTGTGAGGAAGACTCCAGGTTGGGGGATGGTCCAAGATCCAGGGGCCTGCCTACTTCCCCTCAGCCAAGCACTTGGCAGAGGCCACCCATGTCCGCCATGCAGCTTTAGGGGTGCAGTCTGGGTCTCCCAGGCTGGCTCAGCCTAAGAGGTAGGCTGGGGTCTAGGGTATGGTCACCCAAGGCTGGGGAAAGTTAGGCCTCTGCGACCACTGGTGCAAGGATCTGCAGTTCCCTTGGGTCTGTCGTGGTCTCTGCAGGCCCTGGGCACCCCGAGGGGATCCAGGCAGCTCCCAGAGCTTAGTGGTGGGCAGGCGTCTGGGCATTACAACTCACTGCCCCTTGTCCCCCGCTGCCCCCCATGCCCCCACAGCTGCCTTGTCTGGCGCTGGCCAGTGGCCCTTGCTCTGGGCTGCATGTGGACTCAGGTCTGGGCTGGCAAGGTCCTGGGAGCCCCCTGGAGGTGCTGCTGCCCTCTGCAGGGTCAGGCAACCCCACCTGTACACTTGCCAGCCATGTGTGAGAGCAGCTGGGTGGGGACTGCGTCAGGTGGCCCTGAC